TAAAAACATTGACAGCCAATCAGAATCCCTGCCGCTTTAAATTCTCGAGCTCGTTACAGCAGGATGGATTCTGATTGGCTGTCAATTTTAAATCGTTCATCAGCTGGAGAAAAATCATTTTGAAAGTGATTCCAACGATATCGTTTCTCTTTGTCTTTATCGTTATAGTTGTGGTGTGGACTCTGCTATTTTTTAATACTGAGAACGATTGTTTGAACTATATTTATCGTTATCTTTATAGTTATCGTCCTTGGTGTGAACGGGCCTTTATTCATAAATTGGTTGAAAACTATGTAGACACTGTTTTCAGTTTTGCTAAAACTAAAATGGCTAAAATAGAAGTCGTATTAATTGAAAGTTGTGTTTAATTTACTATTATTTACATACCTTACATGCATACTGATATACCGTTTACTGTTTGATGAAACTATCTTAAGGACAAAGTATACTTCGGCCGTCCGCGTCCGCGCACCGTATTACCGCATTACGTCATTTTCGTGATCAGGAGGGCTCGCGGACAACCGCGCAGCCCGTCCGCATGCAGGCAATTTTTTGAGACCACGCGGACGGTCCGCGTACAACAGCGCATGTGCTAGGTGAAAGTTGAGACAGAGCGCAAGTCAAGTAGGTGGCACTGCGTCTGTGTCGAGCTCGTCCGTCCGCTCTCATCCGCGGTTGAATATACTTTGAAAGCTGTGCGAGACGGAACGGAACGCGGAAAATGAAGTATACCCGGGCCTTTAGTCGGTTAAATGAAGCTCAAGTGCCACCTACAGGCCCTGTTATGTGAAGAGTTGGCTGTTAGGTCAAAAACAAGCGAAATGGTGACGTGAAATTACTTTATTACAGTACCACTTTTGATAATTATGTAGCAATAGTTAATAATTACGTTTTAAACATGGGACCCACCAGCAACTAATCAGAATGTTATTTTTTTTTACTTTTATTGCTATTACGCCCAACCCGTAGATTATCTGTGGATATAACCATGATCCAAGCATCACTAATACAAACAGATGCCTTGAAAACTGTACATAAAAATACGTTTTTTTTTTTGTTTTTTTTTGTGGTAAATAGACATTCTTCAGTGACACAATTCAGATTCTGCATTTTTTGAGAACTTTGCACTGCCATAATCATTCTAACAGGTTTCATATTTGTCTCATTTTTTAGACGATGAGTGACAGACCGTTCATCCAAAAGCTCTTCCGACCAGTGTCTCCTGAGGGCCACACGCTTACGTTGGGAGACCTGCTGAAGGAGCTGTTTCCTGCTGCCATATGTGTGGAAGGTGATCCACATGACGAAAATAATTCACCCAGATATTATTTGATGAAAACATGTTTGCAGTTTAGACTTATCTCTCACAGGAGGTTGGAATCAGAGATGTGAGGAAAAGACATTAGAGGAAAACAAATCTTTAACATCTAGAGATTTACAAAAGAGATGAGAAATAGGAAAAGAAAGAAAAAGACAAATCAGGGTTGCATGAAAGAAATCCACAGCCAAAACAGGGGCGGTCTTGGTTTCTCCTGAGAGGAAGTAGATAAGCAGACAATAGCAGTGAACTGCTGGCGGAGATGCCTGCATGACGGAGCACATCTGTGCTGCTTCCAGCCCAATTCAAGACCTGCTTGCTTTGTCTGAAAGGCCTGGTGGTTTGGTTGAAGAGAAAGTGCCACTTTGTGCTTCTCTTTTTGTTTTTGTTCTGCCTCTTCCAGATATGTAGGATTTGCTTTGATAACAGCTCAGTGCAAAGTGTTGAGATTACAGGGAAATACATCTACTTGGGGAAATACCTTTTCTGTCTCAAGATGGTCTCAAATCATAGTTGCTTATCACAGTGTAGACTTGATTAATCATTTATCAATTACACATGAGTGAAAAGCTGCATTTTGTGACTTAAATGTCGTCTTTTATCAGCAGATGAGGTTTTCTGTTTTATGAAAGGCTTTGATGGTGCCTTAATGCCACAGATGATTTACAGTACTGTTATAGTTGCAATGAAATGGGGATTCCTACAAATAAAAATTAAAAGCATTTGCTTTAGCCAGACTGACATGTATTGTCAGTGCCATATTATAGCAATCTGTATGTCTCGAACACTCAGTGGAATGGAATATATCGCTCGATTTTTACCACTTTTGGGGTAAAAATGGAGACATGCTCAAATGGTGCAGTCTCTCCTACGCTTTTCACCATAAGATAAAGATTTTATATATCGAAACGGCAATACATGGTACACGAAAATTTCCCCATGTTCAGTTTTAGAAGTCAGTCAGAATAGTGAGAGGTTTTATAGTGAATAAGAGTGTGTGTGTGGTATTATTTCAAATAAATGAATTGCACAGAAAACCCCCACCCAGCAGCCCTTCGTGACAACCCACGCTGCGAGTGGGGAAACCTCCAGCTGGCCCGCCCACCTCCATCCCCACCAGCACGTCTCACTACTCAACCTATGACAGGCATTGAAATGACACTTTCAGTTGTTAATGTGGTTAAAGAAAAAGGGTCAGTGACTCAAAAATTATGAACTCTGTAGACTGATTAATGACTGATTAATTTTGAAGTTAGAAATCAGAGTGCTTTTTAAAGAATTGGATCGTTTAGACAGATTAAGTAAGTTGTGTTTGATATGTTGGATATACAGGTCTGTGTATTTCTGGGTAGTTTATACAATGTGTTAATGGATTTTTTAATCAAGATTTTTACATAAACTATATATGAATGGAAAAGCCAATACATTAGGTCATGTTTTGCAATATTAAAAAAAAAAGAAATTGTAGGGATAGTTCACCCAACAATGAAAATTGTCATAATTTACTCACTCTCATGTCTTTCCAAACCCAAAATACTTTTTTTTCATCTTTGAAACACAAATTTAGATATTTTATTGAAATCTGAGAGGTTTGTCTATCCATTTAAATCCATTCTCTCAAAACCTTTGATTTCATAAATGCATTGTAAAAGTAATCCATATAATATGAACCATTTAATCCAAGACTTCAGAAGAGACATGGCTGATTTATATGATGAACAGATGTAAATTATGCTTTTTATTTACATATAAAAAGTGATCAATGCACATAGATAGAGCACATCAAATATGGTAAACGGAAGCTCAGCTGTACTTGTGTGACATGAGAACAAATCTTGTTAGTTCTTGTGAGTCAGGCAAGCATGCTTGAGTTTCTGTTTACCACATGAATGCAAGTAGAAAACTTTTTTCATGAATTACGCTCAGGCAGGGACTTTAGTAAGATTTTACCAGAAAGGATTTTAGGTTTGCTTTAAGCAGTCAATAAGATGGAATTTTGTGAATTAAATGTTTTCAATAATTAATAGGGGTGGAACGGTTCAACTTACTCACGGTTCGGTTTGTATCACGGTTTTAGAGTCACGGTTTCGGTATGGTTCGGTAAGTGCTATGTTTAGGGTAAAACTATACTGTCAAATAAAAATAAAGAAAATAAGAATAATCGAACTACATGCAGCAGCACAAATCCATACAGTAGAGTAAAGATACAAATAAAATAAACAGTGATTTTCATTTTTTTTTTAGGTAGGTCTAACATTAGTTTTTAGGTACAGAAATTGAATAAAGTAATGAAATGTAAAACAGCATTGCACATTTGACTGTATAAATTAAAGATGAATCTTTATTAAAGTTACAAAAGCTATTCAATCAAGAGCAGTGAGTGATTTCTTTGTTGTTGCTGTTTGATTAATATTAAGAAAGTGCTGTCACTTTAAGAGAATGCCCTGATCCAGTGCACTGATACAGTAGGCGACGTTCAGCCGGCTATTATAGGATACTTACCAAGATGGTTTTTTACATAATTTTTGTGTGAATTTGTCCATTTAAACACAATACTTCAGAGAAAGCTTAATATTTGCGCGCGTTCTGGGGCGCGGGTTTGCACGCTTCGGATGAGCGCACGCACAAATCTTCTCACTGCGTGTGCGAGCTCGCGTCCTCTGGCTCTTAAATGTTTAAACTGGCAAAGCTTAAAAAATGAGTTTAGTTTAAACACAGATA